ACATCATTTATTCTATTCCACTCGTATGCCATATGAGTCGAATTCAAAATCTCTTACTTTTAGTAGAATGAGATTATCATTAAATTACTACTAAATTATTTATGTCATTAGTAATTTTTTTATATAACCATATGTTATTTAATTATTAATTTTTTAATGAAATAATTAACTCTTTTTATTTTACTAAAATTTGTAATACTATATAAATCTACTCATTTAATGATATAAAAAAATTATAAAGAAAAATTATACAATAAAATTATCCATGTATGGTTATCCGAATTCCACCATCTTTACTTTCCACTTGCTGAGAATTGGTTAGATTCTTGTTTTCTTTTTCACTTCTTACGTATGAATGCTATTCATAAAAGCCATTTTTACCGTTCTAATTTGACATAAAAGTCGTAATTAAAGTGCGCGGAAGAATTATTAATACAAAGGAAAGTTATAGTCCTTAATTGCTTTATCACTTAATTTTATCTCTATAATTTCTTCACCTTTTCGAGATCAGAAACTGCTTATTTGATTCAAATTAAATATCTTATCATTCAAAAAGTTAGATCTTCCCCGCTTTAAACGAAAAATGATCCTGTCGCCATATTTTGAACAATTCCTTTTATGTTCTTAATTAATTTCTGTGAATCATGCGATTAGTTCTCTCAAATTAAACAAATGCCAATCCTATCCGTTGGACAGATAATCGGACTGATTCGGGGACATAGGCGTGAGAGAGTACAAATATATATGAAAAAAAGTAAATATATATATATATATATATATAAAAGGACAATGATTGAAACACAATTCGATTCAACACACTGCATGACAGACTTGTTAAAAAATCACTATTTTTTAATTTGAAATTAAAAAAATATATATTTAATAATATAATTATGCATACAGGATATAAGAATCAGTTGAATTGATTGTACTTATATTATATTTTTAATAATTAAACCGAGAGTGTGTCAAAAAATATGTTGAATAAAAAATGTACTAATAATTTTCCTAAAAAAATATCTATTAAATTTATAGTCCTCCGCATAAATATATTTTACTCTTTAAAATTTTTTTTTTAATGTAAAATCTTTACACTTTTCTTAACTTCACTTCAAATGTGAACCTTATGCCCAACAACCATCTTCATTTTTATTTTTAAAAATAGAGTTGATTCACATTCTACATTTTCTTGCAGTGAAATATTATGATAATGGAACCAATCAAACAAGTGGATGAAAATTGATTCATACATACACTGATTGAAAACAGCTGCACTCAATTACTTTTATCTAACATTACAAGATTTCATTGTAATAAAATATTGTGGGTAAGTCATTACAAAAATATATAAGGGTCGCTCTCTTTTCATTTATGTGGTATTTTACAATCCAAATTTTACAATACAAATTATGAGATTTGGAGAGCCGCTTTTTGTATTTAGAGAATCTATTTAATTAAATGACTAATATTGTACAATCTATTAATTGTAATCTAAACTATATAACTCTTTTATTCCCTTTTATGCAATCACTGCAAAGAATTTTAGGGCAAATTAATCATAAAATAAGCAAAGAGATAGAATTGCACTTGTTGCACATATGATATATATGTCGACCAAGCCAAAAATAGGAACTGTAATCTTTGGTGGGCTTCTAAGTCTTTCGGCATTGACGCCGCCGTGTCAATGGCTCTTTACCATCTTTTTAGACATTTGTCTTATGTACGTCAATATGTCCCAATGTTAATTATCAATTATGGGATATCATACAACTGTAAATCCCCCGACGCTTCTAAGGGATATTCCACCGAAAAGTAGACCGAAGGACCCCAACCATGCAAATCTGCCCCAAAAAAGAAGAACAAAACATCCTAATGTGGACGACTTCATCAATGGTGACGTCCAACATGTGCATAACGCATTTGCTTCAACTTCAACACTCTGTTGGGAGGTTTCTAAAAGTAGGGAAAATGGGAACTCAAAATTTTGGGGTCAAGTAAAGCATTATGAACAGAGATTTGGATAGTCAAAGATGCAAACTTTCCTTTTTGTAGAATTTTTTGTACGTTCTCTGTCTTTGGTGTGCGCAATTTATTGGGTCAAAGGGTCACAAACAATGGGCCCGATCGATTCGTCACCCTCATCGTTTTAATTAGGCCTAAAATCTCATCCTGAGTTAGATCAACCCACTCCAAGTGAGACTCGTTTGTGTGGAACCATCACCGCCATCCACTTGCTCTTGTCCTAATGTTCGTTTCTAATGTTCATTACCAAGGAGTAAGAAATTTTGCTCACCTCATTGGCTACTACTTAATTTTTTGAGAAGGCCAATGAAATAATATCATGAATTTTTCAATCTCAAGAGATCTACGGAAAAACTTGCATTTGATTGAATTGAAAAAATTCACTTAAATCATTAATGGCAATCAAGTCAACCTTACCTTAGATTGCAATTATTTGGGTAGCTTCACGAACCTACACTGTAGAAATCTTCAACTACTTCAACACCTGAAAATCTCGAGCCCTGAAAATCTCGAGGATGTTTCCTCGGGAAAAATAGGATGTTTCCTCGGGAAAAATAGGATGTTTCCTCGGGAAAAACATTTCGACGTTCAAGTCAGTAATACTGGATATTCTAGAGAGAGAAGCTCTCAAGAGTAATTGTAGAAAGAGAAGCCTAGTGGAGTTACTACCTTGAGTGGAGGCAAGTGGGGGGTATTTATAGCCCTCATGTGATGACATGAGTTCATACATGTAAGCATATGATTGGTCCACGAGTTACCACTTACGTGGGTATGTCTGGGCTAGTGTATAAAGGCATCTTCATTTTGGGCTTATGGGTAAAAGACTAGGCTTGTTGCACATGGCCTAGGTTCGATGTTGGGTCCATTCCCAACATTACTCCCCCCTCAGTGTTCAGTTGATGAACTGGGGTACTTGCATCCTTGATCTAATGCTTAGTCTACACTATAGAGCCTAGAGTCTTTTGATTTTACGCACGATCTCGTTAGTAGTCGAGCTAAGAGATTACGATGCAATATACTCCTTCAAACGCTAAGGTTTGACCTGGATGAGTTGTGATGTATCCGAGTTGAATTCTAGATAAGCAAGCCTTTGAGGAAAAGGTTACACCTAGGCGACTTGACCATAGAGTGACCTCGTCCACTCGAGATCAGATCAGGTAACTAAGTCTGAATGGGTGAGTTCGACGAGCTCATAAAAGGTGAGCTCGTATAACAAATTTCCCAACTTCTGGGTGGAGTATGCCTAGAAGGTGATGGAGTCTCCTAGTAAGATGTGTGTCACATACGAGGTGATACGTGGTGAGCTTGCCCACGTTAATGTGAAAATGAGCAAATGCATGACGACCTCAACCATGGTAATCTTTCAAAAATTCTAGAATGGAGTGGATCTCTGAGGATATACGGTTGAGCTCATCTATTTAATTGTAGAAATGAGCTACCGTGTGACAATCTCATTAAAGAGGAAATCTGTCATGATCTGAACCTTGGACGTTTTCAAAATTTAAAACAGAACAAATCTCTAAGGAGATATGGTTCAGAGCAGTTGGTATCCTTCTGCCCTCCCCACAATAAATGCTGGCTTAGCGTTTGAAGAGACGTGACAGCTAAAGTCGGCGAATGTTACAATGTTACAGGCTAGACCCTAAATAGCTGCCACATGTGGTATTTTAACCAGTGTGTTAGAAAAACGCATACGGTAATCAAGGGAACGATTGCATAACTCTTTTGGCATTTCTCTTTCGCTATATTCTCTGTGATTTCTTGCAGCAAATGACTTTAAAGCTTTTCAAGCGAAGCTTTGAACCCACAAATACCAGAGGACTTTACGTTTGAACTTTTCAAGTAAAAATGGAATTTTTTAGAGAACTTAAAGAACTCCAGGGTAACCAGGGCAAGGAAGAGGAAGAAGGTGTTGTGTTAATGAAGCCTATTGCCATGATAGTGCCACCGATGCTACAAGATTGCTGGAAACCGTTACGTCGAAGAGCAACATCGGTTCAAGCACAGATGGTGACGCTGGTGGTCACCATTCTTCACCTTCTAACAGTTCATCTTTAGAAAGAACACCCAACGATGGGGGGGTTGGGATGAGATGGAAGGTACCAGTAATCCCCAGATGACAGATATGGAGGCGGATGTGCTTGTTTTTGAAGGGTGGGAGAATAAAACTATTAGTGGTAGGCTGGACAATATTCGTAAAGCACCACAGAATTTGCCTGCCGGATTCAGGTTCAGGGCGACACTTCATCATGAAGTGGCCAATGGTGCAGCTACTGTTAAGGGATATAAAAAAATTGGAAGAGATGGTGAGGCAATATCAGATCCCCAGAACCATCTTATTACGAGCTGGCACCAAAAAAGAGAGGGCGTGCTCAGTGTCACGAACAGGGTGGATACGGGTATATGTAGATAATTTTGAGGCTGGTCTACATTTTCCTTTGTCAGGGTTGATTTTTGATTTACCGGCAAAGTACGAGCTGGCACTAATGCAATTAACCCCCAACAGCATAAAATTTATTATTGGGTTTATGTTGTTATGTGCGAGGTTGGAGATACCTGCTAAGGTGATAGTGTTTAGGTTGCTATTTCTATGTAGGTTAAGCAATGCCCAGATGAGGTGGTGCTATATTTTGGTAGAAAAAAGATGATGCTCTTCAAGAACGTGAGAAATAAAATAGCGAGGTGGAAGAGGCAGTTCATCTTTGTTCGTGATACACAAACAGAAAGAATAAATAACACATGAATAGAAAGAATAAATAACAAGCTGGCCGCCCACATTTCTAAGTGGTGATCAGGTCAAACGTACATGAACTATCCCACCTTGGTGCTAGATGATGTAGATCTGAAAAACAAGCTATTAGATTATGTAAAGGATGGAGGATTGGTAGACCTGGAGGCCCTACTTACCTCGGAGCAACTCGCGGTGTTTGAGTTTGCGGATGTTACAAACCTATATACCAAAGGCATATTTTCGTTGTAGATTGTAATTTCTAGCCGATTTGAGTCTTATTGCATTTGTTTAATCAGGCGAAATGAGTAGCGTTTTAGAGAGGCAACGTGAATGAGCCCAACGTTCGCGAGGTCCTCGAGGAGAAGGCAGCTCATATAGGTCAACTCATTTTGACGAACAACCACCTGTTGCACCATCCCATAGCTCGTCACAGCGAGAACGAGGTTTGAGCTCGACATTTAGGCCTCATATCGAGCAAAGAGTTGGAACTCTACCTTTAGATTCCTTAAGGCGTGCTCGTGATAACTCGGATGCCAAGGATGACGTGCCACTAATTAGGCGGAGAACGAGCTTTGGGGCTCAACCTGTTCAACCCGCAATGATAAATTTATCTAACGTGCCTTCAACCTCCGCACATGATGCTACCGAGCCATTGGTCGCGTCCACATCTATAACGGCCCCACAGATGCATACCCTGAGGGCTTTAGCTATACAAAATTGGATTGTCAGGCCGCGATGTTACAAGGTATGCAGAATTTTATTCCCCCAAGGGACTGTTAGCGTGCCAATGGTTACATATAGCAACATAGGGATCACGCTGCTATGTTAAAACTGATAGACATAAGTATATTCATGAAAATTTTTCTATCATACCTTCTGAGTTTATGTTAGAAACTAACAATAAAAATTGTATGGCAGGCATTCAGCTATGCAGTCGCACTATTCAAGTGCGAGCAAACTCGTGAGCTCATTGATAACTACAAGCGGTTGACCTTTGAAAAAGCAAGTTTTGAGGATGAAGTCAATCGCTTGCAAAGCTACGAGATGACCAACAAAGTTGCGTCAGCTGAGAGTCGAGCTGATGAGTTGGCCCATAAGGTGGACGAGCTGAAGGAGGAGTTGGAGAAGGCTCAAGCTTAGAGGGATAGCAGGATTCAAGACTTGAACGATGAGGCTGGCTGTGTTGAGGACCGCACCAAGAATGCAGAAGTTGATAGGGATAAGGTTCTGAGCAAGCTGAGCTCCCTGAAGCAGAGAGTGGCCGAAGCCAATCGGAACCTTGTCCAAGTTGAGGCAGCACTTGATAGAGTCAAGAAGTCTCATTAGCACCTTATATGTATTGCCTAAGCACAAGGGGCAAAGTGGCTGGTCGACTCTGAGATGTTTCAAGATGCCATGGCAGTTGCTTTAGCAAATACCACGATAGAAATCTATAATGATATCCGTGGAAAGGTATTGCATCACCGACCTGACTTCTCGATTGGCAAGCTGGCCTTCTATGAGGGCGATGAGATAAACGAGCAAGGCAAAAGTCTTGCCCCTTTTATTGATACAACGGTAAGGCTGAGGTGGGAGCTAAATGAAGAGGGAGTGCCCGTGTGGCCTTCATCTATTGTAGAAGAAGGGGAGGACTTGGAGGGCTTGCCAAGCTTTGATGCATGGCTGGCAGAGCCGATTAAAGAAGAAGCTGAACCTTCAAGTACTCCACCAACTTCTCAGCCTATCACTGCTCCAGTTCTTCCTCCTCCAGCCCGTTCTACTCCAGCTCATGCTTGTCCAACTTGCGCTAATGCATTTGTCCCTGTAGATTTGATGGATGACTAGGGCTTTAGATCTTATCTTATCTTTTCTTTTTTGTATTGGTCAAATAACCTTTTTGAACAATTTTATCATGGTCCCATGTACTTGAACATATAATTTTTTGTAAAGAAATACAATTTAGGAGATTTTCTATAAAATTTCGTATTCATTGAATTTTGCATACAATTTACACCTTTTGAATATGCCAAATTGCAATATAGACTAGTTGTAATATTTGTTGAGGTTATTTATATTCTAAGTGAACGGTAATTGACGACCCTGTGAATCTGCTAATAAATAAGATCTAGATAATTTAATATGAATAATCATGTAAGGACCCTCCTAGTTAGGAGCGAGCTTGCCCATGTGTGAATAAGTATTAGTGAGCCCAGTTTTGCGTAAAACTAGGTTGTCGACCTGAAATTGACGAGCACACATCCTTTTATTGTAAAATCGAGCAACACGACTCTGATAGGCCATGTTTTTCATTTGAGGCATCTCCCTAACCTCCTCCACAAGGTCTAGGTTTTCTCTTATGAGTTGTTTATTATTAAAATCGTTATGCCAAGCTGATCTGTCAGGCGACAAGCCGATTTTCATAGGGATTACGGCCTCAGATCCATAGGTAAGACAAAATGGGGTTTCTCCTGTAGCCAAGCTAGGCGTAGTACGACATAACCAAAGCACTTTGTTGAGCTCGTCAACCCAATTAGAGTGTGCAGCTAAGACACATATTTTAAGGCCGCACAAAATGATTTTATTAGCTAACTCCGCTTACCATTTGACTAGGGAGTGTAGATGGATGTTAGAGTGGAGCTCGATGCTGTAGTCATTACAGCACTACAGCTCAAAACTGAGGACCATTATTAGCAGTGATTCGCTTAGGAATACCAAACCTACATACAAACGCATTGGCTAAAACACAAATGTGTGTAGGTAATACATACATGGTTTGAGCCATTGAAGAGTACCTACACAATATGGAATTGAATAGGAACTCCTCTATCTTCTTTTCAATTGTTGTGGACAACGGTTTGGTTTCTATTCACTTAGTGAAGTAATCCATAGCAATAATGAGATGTCTGCAGCCTTCTTTGCCTTTAACAAAGGGACCGAACAGATCAACTCCCTATTGAGCAAAAGGCCAAGGTGACATGAGAGAAGATAGCATTTCCCCTGTTTCCAAGGAGATATTCTTGTTTAGCTTAAAGACAAATGGGAAGTTTGTGTGAATTTTAGAACAAGCTCAGATACCTGGCATGTGAATGTCGTTAGCATTGAATTGGCAGGTCAAACATTTTTTGACATAGCTATGTGCATCATCAACCATAGTGGGCTAGTAATACTTATGCCTTGAGAGTTTTCGAGTTAGGGTTTTTCCCCCTATGTGTGTGCCACATACTCTTTCATGAACTTCTCTTATTGCATATTCAGCTTCATAAGGAGTAAGGCAACATAGTAAGGGCATTGAAGTTGCTCGTTTATATAACTGATCGTCAATCAAGATGAAATGTGTCACCTTGCATCTGATTAATTGAGCATCAGATGGATCCTCAGGCAATTCATCATCTTGTAAATAGTTAATCAAAAGTGTGGCCCAATTCACCGATGAGGGATTTGTGCTCAACACCTGGCATTCAGCTGTAGGGTCAGCATAGCTTGGTGCATCAAGAATCTCAATGAATGTTGTGCTTTGATGATTGATATCTTGTGACGAAGCTAACTTTGATAGTTTATCAGCCCGCTTGTTGTCTGCCCTTGGTATCTTATCAATCTAAAATGAAACGAAACCTGATTTCAACCTATTAACCACAGAGGCGTAACGACCGAGCTGAGGGTCTCTGATATCACAGCTTCGATTCACTTAGTTTACTACGAGTTGGGAATCACTAAAAACTCTTTTGCTCTATGCTTTCAGCTCGGATTCCAATTTCATACCATAAATGAGTGCTTCGTATTCAACAGCATTATTGATTGTCTGAAATTTGAATCTCAATGCATGTTCAAATTTGGCCTATTAACACTGTTCTTGCCCCTGATCCTTCAACACTTGCATCTCCATTTATGTACAGCGCCCATGCAGGGTGGGCGCAAGGGCGTGGTTTCTTCCATAGTCGCCAGTGACATTTGACTAAAAAGTCTGTCAAAGCTTGACTCTTTATAGTTGTACGTGACTCGAATTTTAGATCGTACTCGCTCAGCTTGACTGCCTATCCAATTAGTCGCCCAAAAAGCTTAGGTTTCTGTAATGTCTTCCTCAGTGGTAGGTCGGTGAAAATAATAATCTGATGAGATTGGAAGTAGGCTCTTAACTTTCGAGCGGTGCAAACAAGGGTAAAAGTGGCTTTTTCAACAATTGGGTAGTTCCATTCTGCACCTTGTAGAACCTTGCTTATATAACAGATGGGTTTCTAGTGTTGATCTTGTTCCCTTAGCAAAATCGAGCTTACTACTTCATGTGTGATTCCTAGGTACAGATATAACTTCTCTCCCTCAACAGGTTTAGAGAGTAAGGGTGGCGATGCCAAGTATTGTTTAAGCTCGTTAAAAGCCCACTGGCATTTATCAGTCCATTGAAAGTTTTTGGGTTCTCTCAAAGCTTTAAAAAATGGAAGACATCTTTTTGCCGACTTGGCGATGAATATGTGCAAAGCAGCGAGGCGGCCAGTTAGACGTTGCACATCTTTTATTGTATTTAGAGGTTCCATTTGTTGGACGACCTGAAATTTGTCCAGGTTCACCTCAATTCTTTTCTTGGCACCACATAGCCCAAAAATTTGCCTAATTCCACAACAAAAGTACACTTTAGAGGATTTAACTTCATCTATGCTCGGCCCAGGTTCTGGAATGTTTCATTGAGGTCATCTATATGATCCTTAGCTTATAGATGGGTGAAAATCATATCGTCAACATAAACTTCAATATTCCTATCGATCTGAAGCTTAAAGATGACCTGAACTAACTTTTGATATGTGGCCCCGACATTCTTCAATCCAAACGACATCATAATGTAGCAGTATATGGCATCACCTGCATAGAATGCTGTTTTCTCCTGGTTGTCCAACCACAATTGAACTTGATGACATCCTGAGCTGGCATCTAAGAAGCTCATGTGCCCGTAACACGTTGCACGCTCTACTAACTTCCTCACATTAGGTAAGGGGTGTGGGTCTTTGCCACATGCTTCATTCAAGTTTGTAAAGTTAATGCACATGCTCCACTTGCTGTTAGATCTTTTGACGAGCATAGGGTTGGACACCTATTGTGAGTATTCAACCCTTCTAATAAAGCCTACCTGTAATAGCTTCTATACTTCTTCATCTATAGCAACCTGTTTCTTAGGGCCAAAAAGACGACGCTTTTGAACCATTGGCTTCCTTGTGGGGTTTGTATTGAGCTTGTGGACCGCAAATTCTGTAGGAATATCGAGCATTTCATTTGTTGTCCATGCGAAGACATTTTTGTTGGATTTTAAAAACTCCAGGAGCTCGCCTTTTTCTTCCACTATAAGTTTGGTTCATATCTCTATTGTTTTCTTAGGTTCGTCTGGATTTAAAGGAACTGTCTCCATTGGTTCTACTGGCTCAGCCTTCTGCTCCACATTCTCAGGTTGGTGATCTATGTTGGATATGCTTATCGTCTGTAAGGCTGTCTGGCTCGACCTGGGAACTTGAAAGGAAGCGGCCTTTGGCACCGCAACAAGCTCAACTTTCTTGAATGTATCCTGATAGCACACTCTAGCCATTTTCTGGTTTCCCTTGAGCACTCCTATTCCCTGAGGCATTGGGAATTTCATACAGAGATGTGGTTGGGAAAGGTTAAATACCCTTTTTGGTCCCTCTACTATAGGAAAAAGCCCCTTTTTAGTCCCTGTACCGAAAAAATCCCCTTTTTGGTCCTTACTGTTCACAAATCTGGCTCCTTTTTGGTCCTTCCATTAATTTTTGCTTACGTGGCATGTTAACTTAACTAGAACAGCTGACGTGGGTATGCCAACATGTAAAATATGTTTATGTGGACTCCACGTCACCCT